CAAAATAGAAACTGGAGTATTTATGACACTAACAACAGGACGAATGGGAATGCCCTCTTTGTGTCTTAGGTAAACCATACAATCTGGGTGTTAATGGGTTACTAGGTATTTTATAATATGGAGCGTCATGTTCTGAAAGAAATTCTGTGAAGAGTTTATTGGTGGCTTTGATTTTGTTAATGAACTTTTTTGTTGGATCTTCGGGGAGTAAAGTGAAATTGTTATCTGAAAGAAATGTAGTGACCTTGTCGTTATATGAATTTTGATCTAAAATGACAAGGCAATTGCCTTTGTCTGCTTTACTAATGATAAGATTATGGGATTTAATTTTGTTTTGAATAGACTTGAGGATTTGGTCTTTCTGTTTTTTGTTTGATAATTGTGGAAAAGAAACATTGAATGAATAATTTTGAGAAGTAAAAGGTGGGTTGGTGGATAATGAGTTATTTGATGTGTTCGATGAAGTGTTGGGAGTAGAGTTATTGAAAGAAGTAGAAGATGATGGAAAATTTTTGTTTTTGAATTTGTAGATAGTTTTATAGCAAGAGTTTCTAATTGACGTTTTATGATTTAGAGGGATTGAGAGATTCTGGATGATAACATCTAGCTCAATGGAGAGACTCTGAAGATCCTTTTCAGAAACCTTCCTCGGAATGGAGTATTTGAGACCTAGATTCAATAAGTTGAGTTCATTTTTATCAAAGATTACAGAAGATAAATTTTTGAGCCTTGGGTGAAATTGGAAATTAGATAATTTATTTTTATTATTGCTACTGTTATTGTTTTGTGAATTAGATGCATTACTAATGAGTTTATTGAGTTTAGATTTAAGTTTACTGGATTTAATAGAAGTAACACCAGAAACTTGACCATCAAACCTCATTATGCTTCTTTACCATACCTTCAAGAACGTCTTTCTGGAGATATTAGATATATCCTAAAAAGATCTGTTGAGAATACCCACATTTCTTTCAAAGTCCCGAACAATCTAGGACAATGTTTAACCAATACAAAAGATCCCATCAACTACATGGATCGTAGTGGTGTTTATAAATTACAGTGCTCTGATTGTGATGCTACATATATAGGTAGAACCCGTAGATTACTAACTTCCCATTCCTTAGAACACTCTAAAAAAGAGAACACTTCCACCTTCTCACAACATCTTGCACAACATAAACATACCCTCAACATCCCAGAAGATGTGTCTTTGTTACATAATATCCCTCATAATTTTTTTCTAAAATTAGATCTATATGAAGACTTGGAAATAGTCAAAGAAAAGCAAAGTAGCCCCAATTGCGTTAATCGTCATGTATCTTTCAACCGTGACTTTCAACCCTTACTTCGACAACTCTTCTCATAGTCTACGCTTCACAATATTGCCTCACCTTCTCTGCCCGACTATCCTATACAAGCGTCAACACCTTTAATCCTATACAATATTTGTGTTTCTTTAAACAACCATTCTCTACACTATTGCCACACCTTCCCCTTATAAATTTTCGACCCTATTGTTAACTTCAGAACCATCCATATCTATCATACCATAATATTTTACCATTTTCTTCACTCTTCACATCTACATCATTCCTGTCCATTCTTTTCTCTTTCATTATTTCTTGGTCAACTCTTATATCAAACATGTACTCAATAGTTTTAACTCAGTAATCATTCAAACATTATCTAACAATTTATCAAAATTCATAATTTTCCCCTATTACAAAAAAATCCCTATCTAACATTGCTCACCTTCTCTTGGTCAACAACTTAGTAGCACACTCATACATCAAATTTTAGGTTTTTATAAACTGAATTTATTACTACTAAAATAGATTTTGTCCAGGGTGCTAGATGCTGTAAGCATGAAGCACCTCTATTATCTTTAATTGTTGATTAACTCCTTTTCTCCTTTAACTGTCCCCTTCTTCTTCAGTCATTTCCTCTACTTTTATTCTCATCAAGTCTCTAAGGAGCTCATCCTCTTCAATTTTAAATTTAATCACATAGGTTATAACTTTAATTTCTTCAGCCTGTAGATTTTCAATTTACTAAACTAATTTTTATAATTTTTTCACCATACTAGCAGTCTTAAATAAAGTCATTTAAATACGAGGTCTTATATTAGCTTCAAATATTTGCTATTTTATTTTTACCTTGTCCTAGATGTGATAAACATAAAAGGATAATTTTCATATTTATAAGCTAATCTAACATAAAATACACTTTTAGACCACATTCCATACGACAAAAAGTAATATAGGTTGCCTAATACACAGGTCATTCTCTTAAACATGACTTTAACACCATCGGTGATTTCACATCTTTTATACTCCAAATTAATAAATAAAAAGTTTTTAAATCCCAACACCTAGATTGCTGTTATTATTTTTTAAAATCATCAAAATAATTTTTTGAATCTTTTGGCTGTAGTAATACTAGCTATAACTAATATAGTTCCATGTTAAATTGACATTTTGTTTTCGACACCGTTCATAGGTATATTGTCAATCAGTTACCAGCTGTTCTCCGTTTGAAGAGGTTTACACTCCGGCTCTGGTACTCACTTCAGCCATGTATGTTACCTGAAGTCAAATTTAATTTAATACTGAACATCACAGTTTTTTTACAACATGATGTATAATCTTTTACAACTATATGTAATTTAAAGGGTTTTACCCAGGTATTTTGGTGGCTCAGGCATTATAACCTTGTAGGTATAACCATTTTTGCTTTTTAACCATAGTCAAAATTTCATAACCACGTTTGTTTTATTAATTACTATTAAACTGGGAATAAGCCACAATTAAAGATAAAAATACGTTTATTGACGTTTCAATTTCCACTTCGGAAATCGTTCTCAAAATACAAACAGTAAATTAAATTAATTAATTTTTATCTTTAATTGTGGCTTATTCCCAGTTTATAAAAATACGTTTATTGACGTTTCAATTTCCACTTTGGAAATCGTTCTCAAAATACAAACAGTAAATTAAATTAATTAATTTTTATCTTTAATTGTGACTTATTCCCAGTTTAATAGTAATTAATTTACAATGCCACAAGAAAATAGCTTCAGAACAATGTTAAGAAACACGTTTGTTTTAACTAAATGGTTTATACATATTTTAGGCAATGTTAAAATTTTAAACGTGATGATGGACTGTTTAAGGGTTTTTTAAGTTTAAGTTTTTTAAGATTTAAGGGTTTTTAAATAAATATACCCATTTACGAAGACTAACCTCTTTTTTGTTTTTTATTTGTCTTTTTTATGGATGTTGCCATGCAGCGCATTACGTAAAACTTTTCATATAAAAAGTACTTGACAAGACGAGGGTATTTGTTTAAAAACGAGCCCTCTATCACTTATGGTTACACGTCAAATGTATACCAACTTTGACCCTCAATATTTTTTAACAGAAGCGTCTTATTTAGGGCCTACTATAAATTTGAAAATTTGCGATTTTTTTTCCAGTAGGCTGGATTACAAAATAATTATGCAAAACCTATCCGACCGATCTTAACAAAATTTAGCACACGTTTTGAACAGTTTTTCGAGGCGGAATGTGGAACTTGTAAGTCAAGTTTAGAAAGTCAAAAACATTTTTTAAAGAATTAACTTCATTTTTTTGTACTTTTTTTCCCAATTATTGCTATTTTTTTCACAATAAAAATTAAATTTTTAATTTCTAGCTAACGAAATATTGTGTAAAATTGAATAACGAAACTTTTAACTTCTTATAATTTTTTCTTGTCCTATATTCACCCTTACATTCGAACGTATTGTGTCCAAATTAAAAAAATTTAAAACAACGTATTGGGGTGTATCGCTCCATTATTGGGCACCCTACCCACCCTATTTTTATTGATCGGTGTCTTCGCATTTGTTCGGCTCTGGCTGATCTCACTGCGATTGTTGCCACCTGTTGGCCCCATTTATTTTCTCTGAGGGCTCTAACCTCTACGTCGTCTTCAGAAATGCCTGTCCATTTTTGAATGGCTCTCTTCAGGATATTTTCATTTATAGATGGGTCAATGTTGGTGACCGTGAATAGATTTTCTTTTCTCCTCACGGTCATGCTTATGCCGCCAAGTTTGTTATTTAGCTCCTGCTTGAGTTTTGCAGCCGCCCCTCTCCCTGATAATTTTACCAGTATATCTCCCCCGTTGGTTTTTCTTAACTGATCTACTTTTAGTCCAATTTTTGTCACGTCCACCTTTCATTTTCGTAATGACGTCTGTGTATGACATACCACCAGTACGTATTAAGAGGGCTTCTTCCGCTTCCTTTATTTTGCACGCTTCCATCCCCCTAACCAGAATCCCCCAAGTGTATAGTAAAGTTGCGAGTGAATAAAACTCACCTGTATATTTAAGGCCAATTGTGAGATAAAATACTCTTATATTATAACAGACTCAGCAGATTCAATTGTAAAAATCTGGAACAAGTTGAAAAATGTTTTGGGGAAACGTTAGCTGCAATTTCTTTAATCAAGTGGTTTCACTAACAATCTTCGAATTAAATGGGTGTGAGATAACTCTTGTCATTTTTGTATCAAATTTTTATCCCAAAGTAATTTGTTTTCCGTTTGCAATTCTTTTTTATTATTTTGCGGTGTGCTATAGCGAGATAACATACAACTTCAGATTCCGGGCAAGACATGTTATTTCTATTCTCATTCAAACACGACTGTTTTGCTCACTATACTATCGGCACCAATGAGGATCGAGTACAACCGATGCTTTTTAAACCGCGGTATAGATTCCCTGGTTAAAAAACATTCATGAATAAACTCAGATACCAAACCCAGGACAATATTCCATGTACCAGAAGATCGATTGAAATGATACTTATACAACACCGCTTGTTTTATTCTAAGATAAACTATTATACAGGATTTGACATGTGGATCTATCGCTGCATGCTGAATTATAGTGAACACATCGAATACCTAAGAAAAGAAAAAATATTTGCTTATTTATTAAAACAATACACTTACCGGATCAATGTTTACATTCATAATATGATCTTCATGGACTGGGTTTAAACCTTTAACTTGGGTCAATAGTGATTCATCTGCCTCTAAGAAATGCGGCAAGCTTGCTATAATTGGTGCTCCTATACATTTTGATAATTCAAATGTTCCTTTTTTAAGGCACGGTCTTGGTTCTGGGCAATAACATTTGTCCGCCGAATTATTTTGCTGGTCGCCTAAATTTCCTTCATATCTTCGTACGTTAATTCCTCTAAGTACATCGTCTCGAACGTAGTCGAGGGCAATATTCCTAAAGATGATTTATTAAAATAAATATGTATATAATGAGATTAATAATCAGGCATATCATAGTTAAACTAAACAATGATATACACATAAATATGTTACATTTTGGGGTTCATTGGGGTAGTGATGCGTCTCAAACAGCCTCTCCTACTCAAATGTCAACCTCACCTTCACGTTGGTGAACCCTGTTATTACAAACGAGGCTCTGACGACCGAGTATCAGCGGTATAACTGTAACACCCGGAATTAAGGAAATGTAATTCCATTAAGAATGAGTGGTGCCGACCCATCTTTCCGTAGTTTACTGTGTAGGCGCTAACCTCGGTTACAATGGTGGACACGACACATTCTTCTACACCACCAACCCGTCTGGTCAGCGTGGTGGGATATGGCCAAAACCACCAAAACCAAACAGAACGATATTCTGTTTGGTTTTGGTGGTTTCGACCAGACAGTCGATTACAACAGAAACACGGAAGTTTACCCCAGGTGGGTAGGAATTCTATTCCACAGTCCCACACCGTACCAACGGTCTACCCCGAGAATTCTGGGGGGGAAAGGCAATTCTGGGACATAATAAGACTGTCAGAAGTTAAAAAAAGAGGTAGAGAATATGTGGACTTACATTCAGGCAACAGACTCTATTATAAAATAATTGACAGCATCTTAGATAGGGTTACATAAAAGGTCTTAAAACTAAGTCCCAAAACTCAAATAGAGATCGTGCAGTTTATGCTCTAAGTGAACAAGCAACCGATGAGGAAATAAATACTTTTTACGAAGACCTTAAAAAAGCTATAGACAACACCAAAGAATCCAAAATAATAATAATGGGAAACTTTAACGCCAAAATTGGAAGTAAGATTGAAGACTCTGAAAGCAAGATTGGAAATTTCGGATTCGGCACAAGAAACATAAGAGGAGAAAAACTCATGGAATTCCTGGAACAAGAAAACATTTATGTTATGAATACCTTCTACAAAAAGAAACCTAACAGAAAGTGGACATGGGTCGCACCTAACAGAACTACCAAAAATTAAATAGACTATTTTTGCTCAAACAAAGAAATATTTGAAGACGTCACAACAATAAACAACGTAACAACGGGTAGTGATCATCGTATAGTTAGAGCAAAAATAAATATTAACATGAAAGAAGAGAGAAAAATTTTTAAAAAAACAACGAGGGTAGATGCCTTTAAACTAAGAATAAATGAAAAAAGAGAAAAAATAAGAATAAAAACCTTCTCGCAGCCGGACTACAGGTCGCAAAGAAAACAAGGACTAAAGAAGACAAAATAAACAATGAAACTAAATAACTAATGACGGAAAGAAGACAACTACTAGCGCAAAACAAATGTTTTACTCAAGAATACAGAGAACCTAATAAAATAATGGGAAATAACTAAAACGCGACATACAAAAATGGAATGAGAACTTAATAGTGCGAGTCATTGAAAACAACAGAGGCTTAAAATGTCTAAGACCCGCACTGGAAGTTCAAAAAATCATCAAAATTAAAGACGCCAACAATAAGGAAGAGAAGGACAAATATAAAATAACAAATATTGTCGAAGACTTCTACATATCCTTGTACAGTTCGCAAAGCCAGCCTAATCAAACAACAAAGGAGAACGTCAAAAGAAAAATAAAAAACGTGGGATCAGAAGTACTACCAAATATATAGGGATTCGAAATAGAAAGAGCTTTAAAAGAGCTAAAACATAATAAAGCTCCAGGACATGACGGTATAATTGCCGAGCTCTTGAAAACAAGCAAGACATTAACAATTCCTGTATTAACAGAGCTATTTAATATATGTCTCCATAATAGCAAGATCCGTAAAGACTGGAACGAGAGTCTAGTAATACTCTTACACAAAAATGTGACAGGAGTGTGTGGAATGTCTGAGGAGACAAATTTGATCTACAGAATTATATAGAAGTAGTTACGTATAACAAATCAGTAATAATATTGTTACAATTATGGTATTAAATCCTCCTCATCAGTCCTAATCCCTTTTGGGATGTGATGACACCATCAGGCCTTCACAGTTTTTTTAGGATTTACCTCCATCCTTCTCCGTCCTGGGCTAGTTGTTTGGCTTCATGTAACCCTTGGTTAATCAATGTTTTTGTTTGATCTATCCAACGGCTTGGAGATCTTCCCCTAGGTCTTTTTCCTTCAACTCTACCCTCGACTATCAGTTTTCCCATCGTGCATGTTCTTCTAGCAATGTGTCCAAAATACTGGAAATATCTCTGTTGTATTTAAGTATATATATATATATATATATATATATATATATATATATATATATATATATATATGTATATAGTTTGAGTTTAGTTCTTGAACCTTAATATATAGTTTTTAGTGGATTCTCTTGGGCTTAGGTTCATAAAAAAAATTTAGTTTGATACTAAGACATTTTTATATATATTTTTTCCGACGTTTTGGCAGGAAATCTATGCCTTTTTCAAGAATATATATTGACAAGCATGTAAAGATTTGGTGTTAACAATTAGACGTCACAATTAAAATAATATTAAAACATAGGACATACCCACTAAGTCACTACAAGTAAAAACTTGTAGTGATATTTTACTAGTGACTTAGAGGGTATGTCCTATGTTTTAATATTATTTTAATTGTGACGTCTAATTGTTAACACCAAATCTTTACATGCTTGTCAATATATATTCTTGAAAAAAGCATGGATTTCCTGCCGAAACGTCGGAAAAAATATATATAAAAATGTCTTAGTATCAAACTAAAATTTTTTTTTATGAACCTAAGCTCAATAGAATCCACTAAAATATATATATACAGTGCTAGTCAAAAGTCCGTTCCCCCTTCGTTTTTTTTCAACGGTTATTGTTATAATAGTGAAATTTGAGGGAGGTAATAAAGAGACTTAGGCTTCTTAACTAGTCATAACAGGTGACGTAATAGTGACAGATGACGTTACAGCGCCACTGTGACAGATAATTTTAAATGGAACCTTATGGCAAGTGATACGTCGTTTGAAAGGTATTGAAAATACCTATTCAGTCATAATAATTTTGTTTGAGTTTAAGCTCATTTTAATCAATAAATACTAAAATTGTAGCTTCTCATTTAATTGATAAATATTTAACAACCACTTCTACCACATAGTAAGTGTTCAAAATGTGCTCCATCTATTTCTTGACACCTATTTCTAAACTCTTGCCGTACTCGTTCAAATGTGTCGGTGGAAATTGCCCTACATTTTTCAACAATTCGTTGTTTCAAAATGTCAATATTGTCGGTTGCTGTAGCGTAAACTTTAAAGTTCAAGTATCCCTACAGAAAAAAATCTAATGGTGTGAGGTCTGGTGACCGAGCTGGCCATTCTATCGTACCTCGTCGTCCAATACATCTACCACGATATTCCTCATCTAGATAACATCTTACTGCACCATAATGGTGTGCAGGAGCACCATCTTGTTGAAACGTTATTTCCAAGTTGCCGAATTCATCTGGATTATCCTCCAGAATTTTAAGTATTAATGGTTCAATTGCATTTTGTAATATCTCCAGATACACTTCACCGGTTTAAGTTAGTATTGAGAAAAACAGGTCCAACTATGTGGTTTCCCAAAATACCTGCCCAAACATTTATTTTTTTTTGGAAATTGAGTTACTCCAATATCTCACATTGTGTGTATTAACATTTCCATTGAGAGAAAAAGTACTTTCGTCACTAAAACAAATTGTTTTTATGTAATTGGGCTGTTGGTTAATTTTATTGGAGATATTTTCACATAATTCTAGTCTTTGGTCGAGGTCATCATCTGAAAGTTGGTGCACAATTTTTAATTTGTATGGATGAAATTTGTTTTCAGCCAACACTCGGTGTACTGTCTTTTGACTAATTCCATAGATATATGCAACTTGGACTGTAGAAGAAGTAGGGTTCACTACAATTTCTGATATTATGTCAATTTTTTGTCATCACTAATTGTTGGTCGACCAGATCGTTTGACATCTTGAACAGTACCTGTTTGTTTAAACTTCTGAAGAAGCTTTCTCAAATAAGATCTTGATATAGGGCGATCGGGGTACCTCTCATTAAAAAAACGTTCCGCTGCATGGAAATTATTTCCACATTCACCAATTAGTAATATAGCTGCTACTTTATCAGATAGAGTACGTACCATTCTGCCTTTGTAAAGAATAATAAACTAAACTAACTAACTAACTAAACTAAATATTAACTAAGAACAACTAACTAAAAACAACTTGAATTAACCAAACTTGACTAAACTTGAATTGACTAAACTAAGTAGAAACAGAAACTAAATATTGGCTATAAACGCTAGTGCAAACTAAAAACAACTAGAGAATTGAAAAACGTCAACTTTTTTTGACAAATAACCAAAAGTTGACGTTAGAATTTTTATTAATTAAATGACGAATTAGAATTTTAGTATTTATTTCATTTATTCGTCAAAAGCATCTTAAATCCAAACAAAATTAGTATGAATTACTATTTAACTCGGAATAAGCCACAATTAAAGATAAAAATAGGTTTATTGACATTTCAATTTCCACTTCGGAAATCGTTCTCAAAATACAAACAAATACAAACAGTGTTTGTATTTTGAGAACGATTTCCGAAGTGGAAATTGAAACGTCAATAAACGTATTTTTATCTTTAATTGTAGCTTATTCCCAGTTAAATAGTAATTAATTTAAAATGCCACAAGAAAAGAGCTTCAGAACAAAATTAGTATGATTGAATAGGTATATTAAAATAATTGTAGTTTCACATTTAATCAATAAATATTCTAACGTTCGCCTCTGGTTAATTGTCAAAAAAGTTGACGTTGACGTAAAAACAATTAGAGAATTGAAAAACGCCAACTTTTTGACAAGTAACCAGAGGCGGAGGTTTGAATATTTATTAATTAAATGCGAAACTACAATTTTAGTATTTATTTAATTTATTTATCAAAATGAGCTTAAACTCAAATAAAATTATTATGACTGAATAGGTATTTTCAATACCTTTCAAACGAGGTATCGCTTGCCATAACGTCCCATTTCAAATTATCTGTCACAGTGGCGTTGTAACGTCATCTGTCACTATAACGTCACCTGTTATGACTAGATGAAAAGCCTACGTCTGTTTATTACTTTCCTCCAAATGTCACTATTATAACAATAACGGTTCAAAAGATACGATGGGGGGAACGGACTTTTGACTAGCACTGTATATATATATATATATATATATATATATATATATATATATATATATATAATATATATATATATATATATATAATCTATATTATGGTTTCTGTCTATTTGTAATAATTTGAATTGACTGTTCCCAATAGTAACAGTAAAATCTATTTTTTGCTATAAACTATAAACGATTTCTTAGAGTTTTCCGCCATCGATTTGAATTGACTTAATATTGCTACACTAATGTTTTGTTTCAAATTATTTTTTTTAATAATAAAAGTTATAAAATATTGATTATACCATATTGACGTTATATATATATATTGACGTTATATATTATATATGATATACTTTACCTGCATAAATGAGTAGTATAACACTTAATTCCTTCTTCGGGTTTTAGAAGTGGAGGTATAATCCAACCATCAGTACCTTTAAAACGGTTGCATTCTTCTGTTCCCCATAATCCAATATCCTTTTTACCATTAACTTCCAGTACTCTTCCTAAATCTTTGTAATTTTTAATACCTCTCATTATTTTAATTGTGTCAGCAATAGTGGCGTTTCTCTGAAATTTCAGTAAAGTTTTATAAACCGAAAACATATACAATAATTGTTTGTAGATTATATTTCTATTTATAAAAGATATATGAAGCTACCACCAAGTTTTAATTAAAAATATCGGAAAAGGAGGAAATATCTAGATAGCTTTTAACAATTTGTTTTTGAGGAACAAAAAGTTTCATGGTAATGACGAGTTTTTAACTTAAATTTTATTTTTAGGTCATTTATCACCTTCTTAAATGTTTGCTTCTTAAAATTGAGAAATTTATCATACATGAAAATGATTACTATTTATTATTAATTGACATTTAAAAACGGGTATTGGGTAACACTCTTTTACAGATTCAGTAAAAGAGAGACTACTTCAGGGCTTGGCAACTCTGCCCTAAGCTAGCTACTGTTTGTCTCGTACACTTCACTTCACAGAAGTAAACAGGTCCAACTCCTTTACCCCATCAAATCAAGGCAGCAGTGACAACCAGTAACAAGTTAAGGCGCATAGGAAATGATCATGAAGCGGCTTATCACTTGATTAATACAAGTTAAATGGTTATGATAGTACAATTCCATTATTATTTCCAAGAAAGTTAATCGTGATCATCTAAAAGTGAGCCTCGGCTGTTTTCATGCATTCTACCTACCATCCACTCAACTTTTATTGACCAAGCATCTTGTAAAAATTCAGCTACTGATTTACAAACACTACAACTGAGATAGACAGTGAATGTCGATAAATGGAAAGTTCAAGGGCTGAAAACATAATGTGGCAAACTAGTAATTATTAGGACACGATACAACATTAAAATCGCTGAAGTTACTGAAACACACTAGCTAGAAGAGGGTCATCTCAAAACGCAAAATTGCAATTATATATACTCTGACAGTGAGACACAATATTTCACTAAAGTAGCAATTTTAATTTCACAAATATTACAAAAATCAGTTCTTGAATTCCAAGCTCTTAACAATAAAATAATTCTCCCCAAACAACAATTTTAGAATTAATTAGCAAAGTGTATTCGCCAAGAATAACTGTAGACGACAACAAATATAAGAATTCTATAAAAACTGCGGTCGACCATTTAAAATATTCCAAATAAGGACCACAGAGAGAGAGAGAAACACGAAGACTCTATACTTAAAAAAGTCGTTTAGATAGGTCCAGAAACCAAATCGATTATACCTTAACCAATATGTGGGCAATATGTGGAGCAGACCGTATTCTTCTTGTAGCCAAAATAAATTTAAGCACACGATAAACGCACAGAGACAGGGAAGTTAACAATAAAAAGGATGAAGACTTTTTCCGAGAAGTAGAAAAAACTCTGCCCTCTATTCTTAACGGTATACATAAAAAAATATGGGAAGCTGTTAAACATGTTAACATGTATCATATAACATGTACCACCAATAAATCATACAAAGACAAATAATTCTTAAAAGAGAAAACACTCAATAACAGATGACACGTTTTAAATAATTGAGAATAGAAGATATTTTTGTCAAACTGGCGTGAACACAGAAAGTATAAAAACCAATTTTGTAAAACTCAATAAAGAAATTAAACGGAGATGCAAGACTGACAAATAACAATATTACAACAATATATGCAAGGAAATTAGAAGCCACGATCAAAACAACCAGCCAAGAAGTCCTGTTTCGAAAAATACCATACATAACAAGAGACTTTAAAGACAGAACTTTGGCCGTCGAAGACCATACGGGAATTTTAATATAAACAGAGAGGAGATGACAGAGACGTTTAGATCATACTTTCAGAATCTTTGTTAAGAATATCAATACCTGGAACATAACCACCTTTACTTATTCCTCATATAACCATAAAAAATGGAAGAAAAACCAAATATACTAAAAAGTGAAGTAAGATTGGCAATTAACAAATCTAAATTAAATAAGGCACCAGGACCAGATAAGATAACAGCAGAAATGACCAAGAAAACACAAGATATTGGAATAAAATTGCTTCACCACCATGGTCCACTGATTTTTCGCACGAGTTATACTACAATGACCGCTAGAATCCAGTATATTCAATCACGCGAATTCAATAAGAAGGTACCGCCTATCAGCACCGAACCGTTTGAAACCTCGCAACATCAATTGCTACGAATTAGAACAGAAAATTCAGCAAGTAAAATTATTATAAATAAAGCATTGTAAAACCTCCATTTTTTAGTCTTACAGAATATTTGTATTTAAAGTCTGAATAATATATTTTGAATTGTAACTAAAATCTCTGCTCGTGTAAATAAAAGTGTATTTTGAGTGTTTGTGATTTAAAAAAAGTGTTTTTCAAAAGAACATTCTAAATTCACGCTACAATCATAATACTGAGGCTGTTTCCGGGTTGCCAAAGGTAGAGGAATCAGTTAAAAGGCTTAAGATACTTTCAAATGAATTTCACCCAGAACAAAATTCAGATAAGGATGTATACTATTTTCACAACTGTTATATCGTTTTATATCTACTCTTGTGGAGATTGCTTGAAGGATGGGTATTAATACGGCATATAATGATGAAAGAATTAAACGCAAGACGCAAAAATATGAAAGATATAATTTTTAAAAAATACTATCAGTGTTCCACAAAACAATCATGCTGTCAATGATTGGTTTGGATTGGATAGACAATTGGTTCTTAGTAACGAGCAAGTGTTAAATCACTAGAGAATGCTAAGAATTTCTATTATTTTGGAACTGACACACAAAATCCCCCACATAGATATGAAGTAGGTATTCTCTTAAATAATTATTTAGAATAGAATAAAAATGAGAATAAAAGGTTTCATCTGAAATTAAATATAGCAGAGACAAAAATCATTACAGTGGATTCGCAATACAATAACTATCATCCACATATAACCAAAATTGGACCGATTTGATGTTGTTACCTCATTTTTATATCTGGGATAATTGATCACAAACAGAGGGACGCTCCTTCTTCTTCTTTCAGTACCGTCTCCTATCGGAGGTTGGCTATCATCACAGCAATCTTTACTTTGTTGGCTGCAGCTCTGAACAACTGTATTGAACTACACCCATACCACTTCCTTAAATTTCGCAACCAGGAAATCCTCCTACGTCCCACATTTCTGTTTCCAGAGATTTTTCTTTGGATTATGAGTCTAAGCGGAGAGTACTTTTCTCATCTCATTATGTGGCCCAGATATTCCAGTTTTTTCGTTTGTATGGCTTTTATGACTTCGCATTCCTTCCCCATCTTCAGCAGAACATCTTGATTTGTTAGTCTTTGTGTCCATGGTATTTTCCACATTCTCCTGTAACATCACATCTCGAATGCCTCAATGTTTTTGATGTTTATCTTTTTCAGTGTCCAGGCTTCCATGCCGTACAGCAGAACGGAGAAAACATACCACCATAACATTCTCGTTCTTAAGTTTATATTTATGTCCCGGCTGCATAGAAACTTTTTCATTTTGACAAACGATTGTCTCGCTATCTCTATTCGCCTCTTGATTTCTCTTGTCTGGTCATAAGTATCAGTGAAGCAAACCCCTAAATATTTGTAGGACGTAACTCTTTCAACTGGCTGATTATTTATGGTTAACATTGGTGTATAGCTTCTTTGTTACAATCATGAATTTAGTCTTCTTGTATGAATGTTTATGTTTTCCAACAAAAACTGTAAATTTGCTAGGTTATCTGTTACTATTAGCGTGTCATCAGCGTATCGTATATTGTTAATTAACTCTCCGTTAATGTCCATACCAATGTGTTGCTCTAGAAGCGCTTCCTGACATATTGTTCGCTATATATGTTGAATAATAGTGAAGAAAGTACACAACCCTGACGCACACCTCGACGAATCTCAATTTCTTCGGTTAACTCATTATCAACTTTGATTTTTGCTGTTTGTCCCCAGTACAAACTGGATATGATGTTAATGTCGCGACTGTCAATGTTTTTGCTTCTTAGGATTTCATACAGCTTTTGGTGTCTGACTTTATCGAAGGCCTTCTCAAAATCTATGAAACCTACGTAGAGGTCTTGGTTTACATCCAAACATCATTGCATTAACACACTCAGACCAAACAAAGCTTCCCGTGTTCCCAGTCTACCTCTGAATCCAAACTGTGTGGCGCTTATGTCCTCTTCTAATTTATTAAATATTCTTTTGTGAATTATTTTTAAAAATACTTTTAGTGTGTGGCTCATCAATGCTATAGTTCTGTGGTCTGAACATTCTCTGGCGTTATTCGTCTTCGGGATTGTGACAAAAGTAGAGGAGAGCCATTTCTTTGGTATGATGCCTGTTCTATAAATTGTGTTAAAGAGGTTCACCATTATTTCAAGTGCGTCGTCGTCTATAAGTTTCAACACTTCTACAGGAATTTCATCTGGTCCTGCAGCTTTACCCCCTTTTGTGTTCCTTATAGCATATTCTACCTCGCTTTTTAGAATTTTAGGCCCTGTTTTGTCGTCTGTAGGTTCTGCCACTGCTATTTATGGTCTTTCGTTTGCAAAAAGTTCTTCAATGTATTCTGTCCATCTTGCCAGTTTTTCATTTAAATCTGTAATTATTTTACCTTTTTTGTCCTTTACGATGGATGCTTGTTTCACTTTTTTACCTGTTATTTCCTTGATATTTTTATGCATGTTAAAGCTATCGTACTTTCTATCATATTCTTCTCTTTCCTTGCAGTTGTCCAGAACCCAGTTCTCTTTGGCTTCTCTAATTTTTCTCTTAATTTCACGGTTCACTTCTTTGTATTTTGTCTTGTTGGTTTTATTTCTTCGCCTTTCTTCCATGAGATGCAAAATTTCGTTTGTCATCCATTCCTTATTCTTAATTTTGCTTGGAGCTAAGGAGCTTTCACCAGCTGCCATAAGGGCCTTTTCTATCTCCATCTATTTATTCTCTACATTGCCTGTGTTCCTATTTTTTGCAGCGATGTTTCTAATATTGTTGTTTACCTGTTCTCTTGTCCTTTCCAGTATAGTTGCGTTTTTCAGTTGCTTAACG